AAACGAAACTATTACAGCTACTTGTACGCCCAAATATACATTTCACTCAGATTAGCCACTGTATTTAATGTGAGTCATTTATATTCACCACCCCCTGAAAATGTTTTCAACTATGTCATGCAACTATCTTTTGAAAATTCCGAGGTTTGCTTTTTCCACATCTTGTTAATGTGCTTATAAAGAATTCATTCACCAAGTGCATATGAATAAACATTGCATTCTGTAGAAAGAATAATGCTAACTGAACAATTACTCCTTGTTATATAGCTGAATGAATGTGCATGGTAAAAACATAACTCTGTGTCAAATACAAATAATGTGTTCTATGATTATTAGGTTACAATAAATTAAGAAAAATTCCAATAAGACAGACTTTAAATGCTGACACATTTGGAGCAATGCAGTTATCTCTGAGTTAATGTATTGCTCAAAGGCAACCATGATAAGAATGACTTTATTTCAGATAAAGTTTATTTTTGGAATTAACTACCAAGAGAATATTTTCCAGTAAAGGGTTGGCCTGTTACTTTAGCCTATTGTTTCTTTTCTTCTCTTCTTCACCATTGCTATTATGACATTATTATGGTCATATTAACCTTTCATGGCACCTAAAGCTTTTGTGCCTGGACCGTTTAAATCAGCAAAATGAGGTAATGACTAACTTACCAGACATGCCTAAAGCAATGGTGTATCACTGCATCTCTTACACTGAAGCCACTTGCCATTTTCTCTCACTCTTACCTACGATTGTCTTCTTACTTCAAGGGTATAACACTAGGTAATTCGATGCATCCATTCAACAAAGATTTACTTAGCCCATTGTACCTGAGGCGGTGTGACGGATGCTGAGGTTAGCGGGTGAATAGCATCAACACAGCCCCTGCCCTCATGGGGCTTACATTCAAGGAAGATGGACAATAATCAGCAAGTGAAAAAACAATTTCATAAAACCATTAGAGACTGTACCAGGTAATCTGATCCAGATTCCAGAAAACTTTAGTTAAGACAGCTAGGGTCCCAGATCTAGTAACCTGAGGCCAAAGCAGATGGTAATCAGTTGTCTTTCTATTCTCCACCATCTGCAGATCCTATACTGTCCCCATAAACTAGAATTTAGCTATTCTTAAAACCCCTAATTCCAGGAGGCCTAGAGATTCTCCCAACATCCTCTCCTTCACAGTCACAGTCCTGACAAGAATCTCTAGGGACTGCTGAGAATATATGGTGACAGTCAGCAATCTGCCTCTCAGATGAAGGAAGGGGCAGGAGCAGTGGGGTTGCCTTGAAAACAGGCCCGAAAACAAGAAAGGAGTAAATCAGAGAATCAACAAACTCGCTCAACCATATCACAGATTTCATGCGTATGTGAGCAATTTCCTGTGCGTGCCCTGCAGGGAAAAAACACGTATGTATGTAACTCAGAATGTGAGTACAATGTCAGTACAGGAAAACTTCAAGTTACATATGCAAATACACATATATGAGGATTCTCACAAAAGAAAAAAATTCAGGATGACTCCTAACCATAACACTTAAGATAGAAAACTCACTTAAAACTGGTCTCAATTAAGTCACTCTTATTAAAAAAAAAAGCTATTTACACATCTGATATAAAAAAAGCATATAATTTTAAACAATAATTACAAAACACTGTGTTCTGACACATATAGTTATGATATAACCACCTGGAACTACCTGGAAAAAAACTGATCTTTTGAGAGGGAGGATGGAAAGAGAGAGGAAGATGTTTTGAATTCAATTTAAGCATCTAGTTCTCCAAGGATACCGGCGGGAGACAGAGGTATATGGTCTCGCCTGGAAATGATCTTACAACTGTTAAAAATTGTAGAACCTGGAGATAAATCAAAGGAATAACTTCATATCCTTTCAGTGTCATACTGGACCATTTTCTAACAGGACCATCTAAAGATTATTTAATTCTATATAAATTAATAAATGTCAGATTTACTATTTATTACACATTTGGATCAGACTGTGAAATTACAAGTCAATTTATAGATTTTTTTCCCAGTAGAGATGCAAATGATTTCTCTCAGGTAGAAAATATATCCCCAAAGGTTATGGCTTTTTTGCCCTACTGGACGTAACTATTTGAGTACTTAGCCTAGTAACAGCGATCCAACATTCTCTTTGCATTCTTATACTCAGTCTCTCGAATTTTCTTTGAACCAGCTTTATCAGCCTCCTGATTTCTTCTCCAATGAATCAATTACATCTTTAATATGTGCTTATTCTATATTTGAATAAAGGTCATGTTTTTACGCTTTTGCAAATTTTACTTTCAACACTGCCAACTTAAAAAGTACACTCGGGCTTCACATCACTGATTGGGGACGCAACATTTCAAGTCTTAGCCATTGCCAGTAACGTTCGGGGTGAATTTATTTTCATTATTCCACAAAGGTTTTCAGATTTTTGAACCCTTAAGAAAACACTGCCAATGCAAATACATTCTCACAAAAGAAAGTTCAGATGATGCATAACAATATTCCTTGATACTGAAACTAATCTTTAAACGAGCTGAGGTAAGCATGCACCATGAATGAAACAAATCCAATTTTAGAAACACTAAATTAAGCATCCAAAGGAACATTAATATTTATATTAACAGTCAATGTCACAATTTATTCCTCTTTTGTCGTACATTTTAGGGAAAAGGATCTTTTGTACACAGTTAAAGGGGAAAAGTAGAGGTATTAGAAAATTCACCACAGGAAAAACTGAAAGTCAGAAGTTAACCAAATTCGTGGCACTGAAGAACCTATAGACTAATGATGTCTGGGAGGAGACATATTACTTGATTGAAAGGAAGAATTATTTTTCTAATTTTAAATGTGTTCATTAGTATGCTTATTAACTGAAGTTATATTTTAATGATTGGATTATTATCGATATTAATAACAAGGCCCTGTCATACCCTGGCTCACCACAGGGAGGGCATGAACTCTAATTTTCTGGTTCAAAGTTGCTAATTGTTCTGACTATTTCATCTCCTCTTCGTCTATCGCCCTTTTGCGTCTCTCTTAATAGTGCGTA